AATCTCCAAGTTTTCTCGTCTTAGAAAGTGGAAGATTCGACCTTTAAAACGACCCCAGGAAGATTATCGAGCGATTTCTTTCCTCGAAAATATAATAATTCAAAGATCAGCAACGTTTCCAAGCGTACCGATATTTACGAGCGACAGCGTGCATCGAAATTTATTTAGAATGCGCCATTATTTGGTCTTCTGCGTGCCCAAACTATGACGTAATATATCGGAGAGATTTGAACATAAATCTCCCAGATACGCATCGCGAAAGATACATAATAATACGTCCCGTCTGGATCACGATTACAAGAATATTAAATATCCATAATACGACAACATTGATCGCAGAATGGCGATTGATTTAATCTTTCCATTTCGAAATTAATGATAGACGTATCAGATGTTCGCCGCGTTAAGTCTCGCCGACTCTCACGCGCCACCTGGACGCTTTAATGTGAAACTAAATTTCCCACTCGTTCGTTAAATCTAGAACGAGTTTCGTGATCCAATTAATCGTATTGTGTTCCTTCGCCGATAATTATGTGAATATCTCAGGCTTCTTCGTTGAACGGTACACGCGTCGATTTATATTTTAAATCGATCTTCAATACTGAATGTCGTACGCGCGTGGAATAAATTCGAGGTTAAAGAGGAAGGAAAAACGACGAAACGGCCGGTCACGTGGCGGTCTCCGATCGGGTCGGAGGATCTGCGTGGCGAGTTTTAGATCGAGTTATCGTGTATATAAGTCCTGGATCTTGATACGAAACGCATCCACGGGAGGATCGTTCCCAAGAAAATCGAGGCCATTCCTGGCCAGTTTGAACGAACGCGTTGCCGGCGGAGAATAAGCTTCCCGAACGGAGCCTTCAGCCATCTGTCTGCTTGACTGATCGGTCAACGTACTCTTCGACAATTCTTGCCACTTATTCCATAGACGCCGCGTACACGCTCCGATAGAATCTTATCTAAACGCACGGAGAGAGATCCTTCCCTCCTGCGTCAGCCTTTTTCCGAGAATTGTTCAACAACACCGCCTCTGAATAGCGTTTCCAGCCCGTCGCGTGTGTGTTCCTTTCTTTACTCGCGGAAAGAAACCTCCAACATAACCTCTTCGCCTCAACGCCCAGTCTACCACGTTCGACGACCATCTTTTAAATTTCTTTTAAACGATATTAACACTAGAACTACCAAACCAGTCAAAATGACCCATTTGTAATTTCTAATAAAACTTGTGAAAAATTTACTCGACTGAATTTTTGAAAAATCGTAATTTTCTGTAAGACAATATACACTGTATAAGTACATGTATAAACACTTATTTCGATTGCATTATATATTTCTCTGCGTACCTATCGTTTCAATTTCTTTGGAACAAATAAACACGCTATAATTGTCGGTAGTTCTGGTGTTAATTGGGTAAGTGATACCTCAATTATGAAATAATATGAAGAATATAGTATACGAATCAGTGAGTGCCACGAGCGCTGACAATTATTAGACGACTTTTCATACGTGCAATGAATTATTCAATGTCTGAAAAGGGATTGGTAATTATTACCGTATTTTTATACTGTTTTACTTTATCAGATAGTTTACAATATGTTTTAATTCCTCTGTTTGTGCAAATTAAATGTGTAGCCGTGGCTTGGAACACGGAAACTACACGAGCCCGGATTATAAATATACAAGAGGATGGAATGGAAGGAAGGCGTGTGAAATATATGTGCAAGGATATATCAGAGCGCTGTTAAAGAATGCGATAAAAATAAATAGGAGAGAAGAACGACTCAACAAGACCGTGACATTATAAAATCAAAGAGCTACTTTCGTTGTCGATATCAATGACATAAATTAATTGCGTTATCTTTTAACGATCTTTACGGATCGAATCTCGTCTTCGTCGATCAGGATGCTGATGAATTTCACGTTGAAAATCAGGGAAACGAGAATTCTCGTCTCGCGGGGTGCTATGAAATATTAAACCTGCTTCAATTATTCTTTTTATTTATAACGTTACGTTTCCTCTTCTCCCGAGAAGAAACGCGATGATCTTAATGTGAAACCAAGTATGAACATTCTCGAAGTTCAACATACGGACAAACCATGTGATGAGTGGCGGTAATTATGCAATAACTGGATTTTTACTTTTTCCTACGCGGCTTAGAATCTCGAACCGTTACGAAGGTTCGATCCGTACGAAATTACGATCGATTTTTTTATTAATAGAGCGAATATTTTTCTCTTATATCGAGTACATATCATTGATCATTCTTTTGTTAGGTGAACATTAGGCTAAATATCGATACGTCATCGTCTGTTAGTCACAGGGCTCGTTGGTCACTAGGTCTAAGGGTCCTCTTACTCTACTATTGCTAAGACATTCCAAGAGTCCAAGAGTCCAAGAGTCCAAGAGCCAGATTCCATTGCAAATTAAGTTATTCTTCACAGTCGAGTTCAGCGTGATTTCAACGTAAATGAATAAACTTTTATAATACAAAAGGAGCATTACTTGACCACCCGGATTTCAACACTTTTTATAAAAAAAAAAACCTGGTCAACTTAATAAGATTCTCGATAGCACGGACGAGTTCAGGCCTCAATATCTCGATCGTTTCGCGTTTTATAAAATTTCGACGTTCTAGTTTCCCCGTAACCGGACCTCGATAAACATTCTCGATATTCCCTGTCGATAGGAAAAAGCAATTTCGGTGGCAAGAACCCGAGCAAAGTCAACCTAACCGCATAAATCTAATCTGGGGAACGGAAGATGACCAGTTCCACCGGGTAATTAGGGGTATAATCAATCGTTAACCAGGAAAAGCTTAGAGTAACGTATTAAGCGAGAACGAGCGTGTGTGCGCCATTATAGCACTGTCCTCGTCCCGGTATCACTCGTCTCATTATAATACCGCTGGTTAATTAAACGCAACTCGGCACCGAGAGTCTTCCATCGAACGCTTCCTCAATTTCATCGTATTTTTTTTTCTTCTTTTATTCCAAAACGAGAGACTTCGTTCTGCTTTTAGCTAGCCGAGGATTTCTTTGCGCCGTCCGCGGGGCGTACGCCCCGGGATTCATACACGGGAACGAGACAGTAACCGACCATTACCTTCGTAAAACGGGTTAATGACAGCTTTATAGCGACGCGAGATATTTAACTCGCCTTCTTCTTCTGCTCGCCGCCGGGTGTCTCTATGCTTCGCTGATAATACGGTTTCTGGATCGAGCAATTCCAAGGGGATCTCGACTGTAACGAGATCTCTCTGTAAATCACTCTGTTCGATAAATCGAGGGGCCGACTCGAAGAATCAACTTTTTTTCTTTCAACGTGTTCGCTGTCCGTGACCCGTATACGGGTCATAGCGCCGTGCTTTTGGATACGCCGCTAAGAAACTGGACAGTGAACGCGACGAAATTCGATTTTCGTAAAATATGCGCGACTTTATTTATGCATTATAATTTGTTCGATAGTAGCAAATAAAAGGCAACTATAAATTTTGATATTACGTATTCTTCGTACAATTTAATTGCTAGAAGAATACACATTACATTACTCAGATTCGATAGAGGAGTTAACAGAACAATTGGAAGAGTATTCATGGTATTAATGCGCTAAGGAAAATTTATTGCGTAACAGTTTCCCATAGGGATCCGATAAAAAATCCACTTCCTCGTAGAAACTGACTTTAATACGCATCGATTCCCATGAGAGGCTAACGTCACGTACATATGTGTAACAAGTATGATTTACAGTCCAAACAAATTGGGGGCGGGATATTACGATTGTAAACATTCGATTGACCTATTTAATAGATTCTATTTGTGGCATATATTTTGGATAGCAATGTATACATATATAAAACTCGAATTGCAGCGAATATATACATTTATTAGAAATTTTATTGAAAGTGTACACTGTAAGTCGCTTAACACTCAACGTGTTCAAATAAAAAATCTTCAGAAACTACACAAAAGAAGTCACTAATAGTGGACTAGTAGTGGTGAGGAAATGGCGACATCGGTAGGGTGACTGACTAACAATCCGAAGGTCGTGGGTTCGATCCCCGTGACTTTACTTCTTTCTGTTCCGGTTTTTTCTCGATTCCTACATTATTTCTCCAGTTAAATAAATATAATATGATTTCTCCAGATAAATAAATATAATATGACTGGTTAAATAATATTAATAATATGGGTTGTAAAAATTTCTCTTCCATCGTTCGAGCCCCCCAAAGTCGCCGACAGAACGCAAAATAAAACTAGGACGAAATTAATATTAACTTACAATATTATGCAACGTAGAAAACGTGGACACGTTTTCACGCCTATATGAATGTTATCTACGGGAAAGACAATAAAGATTTGCTATGGCGAATCGCGCGCCAATCACGTTGCATTAGTCGAGCATATTAAGAGAGATGTTTTCCACGATCATCGCAGGTCAATGGATCCCCGCGAACGCTTCTAAACAGAACTTTTTCCCCGCGGTCGTGTTACTAGCCAGCGGCAACGAATGAAACTGCGTCTCGTAGAGAAGATTAACGAGTAGAAAACGGAAGGCAAACGAGTAGCAAGCCGAGATGGAATTAATGAGCCAACACGGGTTCCAGTATAGAGTGTTCTCCCTTGTTTGTCTTGGCAAATTCAGCAAATTGCAAAACATATCCTGCTCGCGAATAGGGCCATCAAATCGAAATGAAGTCGTTCGAGCAATCGAACGAAGGCGTACTCGATACTTAAAGCTACTTGAGCATTCGATAAATGCTTGGGTTTTAAACTAGTACTAATTGAACAAGAAGCAGCTATTAAGACTAATTTAGCGACATTTCGCGCGGTAACGTTCGGGGTGAAACGGTATTCGCGTCATTATTGGCCCGACAGTTGTTTCATAATTGGCAGTTTAAATTGTCGAGCAGCTTCTTCGTTCAATGACTCCTTCTTTAAGTCGACGAATACTATAGAGGCGATCTTGACAAGAAATAGCAATTCGATTGCGAACTTTGTACCTTTACTGTAAAGATGCGATGTCCGTTTGGATAATGGACGGTTCCACTTGGACTAGAATCTGTTTGGACTGCTTCTGAAACAGGAAACGATGCCCGCATTAGCATTCCGACGATACGAATTAACACTCCTGCAGCGATAAACAATGAACCATTATTGCAACGCGAATTTTCTTAATGGGAAAAAAATAAATAGGAACACAATAAGCATTGCAACAGCCACCATTTTTATATTGCATTTTATAAACCAACCGTTTGGTCCAATTTACTTCTCCAATACGAAGGGGGCGTTCAAATGTGACGCAGACGCTTTGCATTCACTTCGAACGTAAAGCGTCTGCAACCTTCTCGAATGATTATTTCAATTACTATGTGAAAATGATTCCCGGAAATCCTGAACGATTAAACGAAGTTCTTCGTTAAGCGTTCCGCGGGATCACCCGGGCATTTATGATCCATAGAAAGTACGTTAAAACGTTTTGCAACGTGGCCCTACAATTAATGGACGTTCACCAGGAAGAATTTGATCCGATGCCTTTCTCTTATTAAAGGAAATTTACATCTTTCAACGATTCTAAACTTCCCAGCATCCACGCGCGTCGACAAAAAACTACAAACTCCAGTTTATATATTAATGGGCGCGAAAGGTGTTAAGAAAGTTGTATCTTCCCCGGTTCGACATGTGCATTATGCAAGCCAAACGTATTTAAATCTGGAAGACCTCTCCGCCTGTTTTTCTACGTTTGAATTTTATATAATCTCTAAATTATTGCGCGTTACGTGTGGCAGGAAATAAATATCTCGAAAACGAGTAGGGATTTTTAAAAAATTCTGTTACATAATATGCTTGTTTTTTTCATCTAAGAGTCCATCTAGAAGTCCGCAGGCTATGTATCGAGAGATACTGTTGCAGGCTATCTGCTTTCGATTCGCATTTTTCACAAGCAACTGCTATTTAAATCATATAAATCCTTTCGATCTAGCAACTCGACAGGTTGTGGGATCGACGATCGCAGGAAGCACTAATTTCATCAGTGGAATTTTTTGTACATTAATTGGATTTGCTAGAAGAGAGATCTCCTTAAAAGGTGAACTGCTTAACCTCCAAGATGGTTCAAATATCGATAGTTTGCGAAACTTTCTTAGTTCCTGTTAACTTTTGCATAAATGATATTCTTTGAGATGTAAGAGAAAATTATGCTGCTCAAAGTTTTCTAAGGTCCAAGACTGCTGGTCAACAGAACGAAATATTCTTTTCTCCAACCGTCGTTTGTTCTTTCTCGCTCACTCTCGCTCGCTATCCTTTGCTTCGTTCGACGCTCGTTTTTTTCTCGCTCGTTCTCGTTCGTTCTCGCTCGCTGTCCTTTTCTACGGCTATCGACTAACGGCCACCGGGCAAAAAAAAACCGAAACTCCGCGAGGCTCAATGCCATCTCTGTGTAGAAAAACATCTCATGGTGTCGAATTTCGTTCCCAGCCTGTCTGGAACGTGCTAACCCCGTAACGGTTTCTATTTTAAGAATCGTCGCGAAACGAATTCTTCGAAATCTCACGAAGGCTACCAAACGAACAAAAGTGTATCATAGGTGATCATTCATTACACAACCGAATTACGTTGAAATTATAAGATACAGCTAGTCGGTAATTTGTGAGTAGCGTTTTTTCGAAGGTTTCGGTATTCGATGTTTGCAACGAACTGAACGGGATGACTCTTTTTTCTTAACGTTACAAGTCGGAGGAGTTCTGGTTGATGTAGGAAATTTTGAGTGATGGAAAGACGTGGGAGGATACAGTTTTGGTAATTGGATGTTGGAGTCAAGGTCGTTGCAAGGGATGAGGGTGCCTAGGTTATAAACTATTTTCTAAATTTGGAAAGATGGCCTTCAACCTGTAATACGTAGCGACGCAACGGAAAGCATCTGCTCGAATTTAAGATCTTCACTGTCTTTGATAGATCGAGTTACCGAGTTCCAAAGGAGCACAAACCTGTACCGTAATGGAAGGAAACACAGTGGGGTTAAATAGAACTCCTTCTGCTTAACCTGCCTGTCCACTTAACGTCGTTATAGTGGCAGCTCCGGAGTCTCCAGGGCTTGTTCGATTCGAACGAAACAGATTGAGTGTAAATCCAACAACCGCCCCGGCTAATCACCGTTGTCCTGTCCGAGGGAAACATTCACGGAGACGGTGACTACGTCGTCGCGGTCATGCGCGTCGTATAATGTCTCCATCGCGACCCCGATTATCGCTCTAACTTTAACCCGAAGCATCGTTCGACCATTCGTTATTTAATTGTAGTTAAAGAGTCCAATCTTTTATCGGTATCTCTCGCCCAGGAAGCAGTCTTCTAATTAACAGTGAAATTTTTTAGGTACCAGTTATATTACAGGAACGCGTCTGGTTTGAGGTTAGGTCGCCGTACGTATAGCTGTTTAACACTTTGACTGCCACGTCATCCATATATGGGTGACAGGATTCCTTATTATGGAACTAGAACAATTCATTCTCAGGATGAAACGTTAAAGTTGAAATTCGAACAGAATTTCATGAATTTTAGCGAGGTTATAAAAATAAAAACAAATTTTAGGTTATGTAGCTTATAATTGTCTGAAATCAAAGTTTTGGTCCCGCAAAGAATCGTATAGTTTTGGTCTGGCAGTCAATGTGTTAATCTGTTGCAAGTTTAAGTTTACTTTTTACACTCTGATATTAAGGTTGCAACGAATCAATGCGTCGATTTTTCGGTCCGTCGAATGAGAATGCTCCCTTAAGCGGAGACGCTGGTTTAATCGGGAAGGAAACCGAGACGAATCGAATCCCCGTCGCTGCTCGGTTCCTTTCCTTTTACGATGATGGGGAGCGGCAACTTTCTAGACGCCCGACGTCCAGAGCCCTCCATTACGTTCGAAAGATCGTTGATCTTGGCCGAGATCTTCGGGGACCTTTTAATCGACGCGATCATTAATTCGAGCTTCGATATCTCTCGTTACCGGAAGTGCCTCGCGGTGCACCCTCGTCGTTTCTCCACCCTCGATCAGTCGAGGTAATTAACGCTATTAATTATTGTTTTGATCGACGATTTAGAAGGTTTTAGAACGACTGTTTAATAATGGACACGAAACGTTCTTTGTTCGTTTCTTGGTAATTTTTCGGTAGAAATGGTTCGATGAAGAGGCAAACGGAACCCCAACAATTAGATACGTGCAAAGATGTTGGTTTTTCTCTTCTGAGAGAGAAAGTTTTCTTTGTGTGACAAAAACCACCCACGCGTGTGTTGCGCGTTTCAAGTCAAGAGGGCGCAGCTGTGTCCCTTCCTTGGCTTGTTTAGACAAAGTATAGGACCAATTGGCTCTGAGGGTAGGGGACCAATTTTTCGTCATTGACCTTTTCATTCTGTATGTTTCTTTTAAACCGTGCAGACGTACCTCCAAGTGTTTCTAACAAAGTTTAGTTAAAGGTTACATCGTTCAAATTGTTTTTTTATTCCACCACCTATTTCCAATAGAAGAATTTCGATCTCCACGCGTTTTAAATCGAGTGAAAGTGTTAATTTTCAATCGACGGTCGGCGTAAACGCAACAAAAGAGAAAGCAGATCGAAAGGATTCTGCCGCGATGACCGCGCGGATGAAAATTGATTAAAAAGATCGCAAAACGCATCGAAAGACTAGTCTAGGCTCTTAGCTTCTTGTGGTCGACGGTAGGGGGCGTCGTTTGTCGAGATTCTGCGTTTCTAGTAACAAAACTCGCCTAATTACAGTTCGACAAAGATCGAGAGCTCGTTACGGGTCCGGGATCGGTTCGATCTGATAAGTCGTGGACGCGATCGGCTATCTTGGTACCCCGTAATAAGATACGCGCAACCCCCGCAGCCACGTTAGGCGGTTATAGCAACGACGTTACGACTTACGATAATTAACGGAATCGAATTAACCGTTCGTCGAAAGCATCTGGAAAATGCCCGTGGCACGAATACGCCGGATGTGGAGCCCGATAGAGATATTCGTGTTACGCGTAGTCGATACAAATATCTTAGGACTTTATCGATACCAAGAGAACTCGTGTTCGGAGAAATTATTTTTACGCTACAAATTCAGAACACGATATTAATATTAACGCTGTTTCGAGAAGATTTCGATATCGAGACTGTTAAACCGTACCATCGTAACCTCGAATATCGCGCTTTTTTTGTGACAGATGGCGCGATGGTCGTCTGTATAGGCAAGCGTTTATAAGCACAGCTCCATTTTTCTCTCTCTGCTATAATAATGCAAGAAGTATCTATTTCGTTCTATTAATTAATGTTCTTTGAAATTGATTTTTGTTACTGCTGAATACAACTTGTGATTTATTTCACCAAAATACAACGGAGACTGTTTTACGATCGCGTTAGGTTAAACCAGTTCGTGATCTCAGGCTGCACGCCCTCGAGACGTTGCCCGTCCTTTCCGTGACGCAACGCGGCTAGATCAGAACCGATCGATTAAACGGATAGATCCTTGGAAATCCCTTGATCCGATTTGTCATGAGGCGTATGCGTGCGAAAGCCACTCTATGAAATTTCCACGGCCTTCCATCGCTTCCAGGAATCGCGTCGTTCCCATCTCGTTCGGTGTCCAGTTATTTTTAGCCATTGTGCAATCGGTGATCATCTAATTTAATACTATTTCCACGTATCGAGGATATGCAACCTTCTCCACGCCCATAGAAATTCTCCACGTCGACCGGAATCAAATGTTTCTTCAATTTCGTAGGATCGACGACAAACTAACCTATAAAAGTTGACGCCATTGCGTAACAGACGATTATATTTGCAACTCGTATCTTTGAGAATATTATTTTGAGTTCGTTGCACTAATTTGTTACGTTTCTGACGTTTCAAAGACGTGAATTGCCAGGGTTAGGAAACGGCGGGAAAATGCTACGAATTTAAATTGCTTTCCAAAGCGTCCGAAAAGAAATGGCGGTTTGCAGGTTCAATATTATATGCCCGATTAAAGTTCGTTGCACGTTTGCACGGTGGCTGACCTCTGGGATCGATCGGTGGGAAGGTTCGACCTTAATCGTGACAGGAAGTT